CCCTTGCCCGGCGGTGATTGAACACTCGGATGTCACGATGTTGAACCCTTTAGGTTGGGAAGCTTAGTTCAGAAGCATGCTGTACCGTGCATTGCTGCTATTTTACTGTACATCTCAGTTACAACGATCAAAGCGTAATTGACTGAAGATATTGAATTAATATACTGAAGATGCTGAATTCATATTAATTCTTGGCATGTTATAAACTTTCTGTGCGCATTTTCTTTCCAAACAGGTAGCTGACATCATTGGTATTTCTATGTCATTGCTGGAGCAGTTGGCAAAAATCAAGCCACCTAGTGAAAGTAAGTTACATTTCAGTTACAACCTTTTATCTCTCGCTGTGTAGCTTGCCTGTACAGATGTTTTAAAAAGTGATAGGCGTTAATTGTTCGTTTTGCCACCGCCTTGCGCTTTTCTGACCAAAGTTCACCGCCAGCGCTCCGCAAGGCGCTCAAATCCGTGGCGCTTTTGGTGCCGTGGATGATCTGGAAACATAGGAACGCATGCGTTTTTGACCATGTGAGCCCATTGCTCAATGAGCTTGTTGACAGGATCAAGGACGAGGCCCACTGTTGGGCAAGGGCTGGGGCTCAAGGGCTCAGGGTCGTTTTGCCATCATCATGGGATGTCCACTGATCAGCTGACAACGGTGTAAAACTGCCTCCTAGGAGGATGTAAATTTCCTATCTTTCCAATGCAATGAAACGCAAAGGCCATTTGCGTTTTCTCGAAAAAAATAATAATTATGCGCACATTAAGCGCTGGACGTTTTGCTATCGAGTAGAGCTTAGGTGTGCCTTTTTCTTTAACTATGCCTGTACTTGATTATAGAGAAACGGAAAGGCTTGCATCTCGCTGTATTGGATAGATGGAGAAAGTCCCCGTTACAGCGTCTTGGCCGTGGTAGGCTTGAAGAGCTCCAGCAGTCGACGATTTTTTCGCTGACCTTAGGAGGCCTTGTTGTTGATCGGACCTAAGAGAGAGCCTCATGCCAAGTTATGTGCCAAAACAGACAATCAACATGGAGGCCTTGCTGTTGATAGGACCCAAGAGAGAACCTCATGCCAAGACATCCACCAAAACTGACGATCAACACGGAGGAGGCCCATCGTTTGCTTAGCTTGATCACAGAACTGCGATCCAAGACTGCGATCTAGGAGAACCTTCACCTTTCGAAGTGCCGAGCCTTTCCAAGTTAGCTTGCAAGCCGTGTACTTGAAGGAGACTGAAATGTCGCCTGGTTGTAGGATCTGGCTGAATAGCAGCCGTGGGCCTCCCACTTCCGCACAAGCATATCCATGTAAAGCTGGAAGCCTGGAAGTCATCCATAGCTTGGCAAAGTGCGATATAATGCATCAGCTCAAGCATACCCGATGCTCGTTGGATATCCCTAACCCAAGATCTCTCTTGTAGTGCATGTACCGATGTAACATTTTGTGTTGTCACTTATATTGTAGGCCCTTATGATAGTGAGAAGTTCCTGCAAAATGTGATTTACTTCACCTGAACTTGGTTGAAATCATAATATTTTTTTCTTTGCCTCTGTTATTAGATTAAAATACATTAGTGAAAACTCGAGAGTACAGAAGAATCATGAATCACAAGCACATCTAAAACTTAGGTCGTAGTCTCTTGCCTTGTATAAACTAGTACATTATGTTGTATATAGGTAGTTTATAAATACTCCCTCCGTTCAGAAATATAAGATGTTTTGCATATTTCAATATGGACTGCATACGGACTGAAATGAATGAACAAACACACTAAAACGTGACTATATACATCTGATTAAATAAAAGTTAGAACATCTTATATTTGTGAGCGGAGGGAGTATTTTTAATTTACTCTCCCATCTCATATATATTAATAGATTACCTGTGCCCATGTAACCATATGGTATACATAAAAAAAGCAATCTCAGTGTCATTTATGAGTCACTCATTGGAGCTTAGGTCACGCAGAGTCCGCGGGTAGAATGTAGCTCCGTTGCCATCCCTAGCTGACATTTTGTAACTGTAAACTGATCACAAATTGTTGATCTATTTGCATCTCAGTGGTATTCTAGTGCTCTTAAGATTTGTTCCTACTAGATGTTCTTTTAACTTTCTAAACTGGAGTCTAAGGTGAGTCGTATTCTTCTTATATATCTACAGTGTTAGGTGACAATGATGCCATGACCATGAGTGGTGGTGTTAAGAATGGTGTTGATGTTGATTTGCGAAGACATATACTTGGATTATTTGATCCAAATTCAAGGTTGCTTGAATATCTGGTATGCTTATTTGTTGAAAGTTACTCTCTTTAGTTTATTGGGCTCCCATGCCCAATTCTGATTTGTTTTGTTTGACCTTCGCATGTATTACACATAGGTGAATGCTATGGTTAAATGTACATTGAGCACCGACGATGCTAACCTAGTTGGGCCATCAGATGTTGAGATGGAAGTTATAGGTTCTATTTGTGCTTTTCTTCATGTCATGGGGAATACGTTTCATCTAGATGGAATTATGACTACGCTGGCCTACCATACTGAAATTGTTCCTGCATTATGGAATTTCATTAAGCACTGTCATGAAAACCAGAGATGGCAATCTTTTTCCAAGTGTGTGTCTCTGTGGCTTGCAGATGCTCCTGGTTGGCTTCTGCCAGTGTCCATATTTTGTCCTATATACAAGTAAGAGAGCTCAATTTATACTGTCACAAACGGTTACTAGTTAATTAGTTTTCATTTCATTTTCTTTGTCTTCTTATTAGCAAATTGAAATGTGGATTGTTTTCTCTTTTCTCAGGAATACACCTTGACAATTTTAGTTTTTTTTACCTTGTATCAGGCACATGTTAGAGACCCTTGATAAGATTGAATTCTGTGAACAAAAGCAGCCTTTTTCACTCGAAAGTTTAAAATCGCTGATTCTTATTTTAAAGGAGGTATGCACACAACACAACCATCACCATGTTATTATTGAATGTACATCTAGAATTAGTTTATATACTCGCATACTTGATTTTTGGTGTTACATTATGAGTTAAATTTAATTTGCAGGTTTTATGGGAACTCTTTTGGATTATTCCTTCATATATCTCTTCTACTCCGACTGTATTATCCAATGTTTTATCCCTAAACAAAATGTCGTTCGAGAATCTCAAGAGCAGAGCTAGGATTGAGTTGGCTGAATTACTTATACAGGTGTCTGGATATCATACTCTTGTTTCATACAAGTTATTTTTGAACAAGCTTTAATTTTTAATTGTTGTCTGCTTCCTATCATGGTTATTTCAACTATAATGATTAGTGAGGTGCAGCGAAATATCCTGTCATACAGCGTACTGTGTTACACTTCTTCTGTACTAGCATATCTTTGGGTAGTGGACATGTTACCGGTGGTTGTGATGGAGACGGTCGAGAAAAGAACAGAATCCATTTGACTTCTTCTACATACTTCTACTGCATTCTAGATTGGTTAATCATTTTAGTCATATGTTGTTGTAGTTGTCTTCTTAACCTTTAAGTACTGTTTTCTAGAGTTATCTAGCTCTGAGTAGAAGTTGAGATGTCTTAAACTCAAAGTAATATTTTCTAGAATCTTCTAGATAAGATTTGAAGTTGAGATGTGAAGACTTCACAAAGCCTATAAATAGAGGTCCTCACCTCTAGTTTGTAACCCAGACTAGGTATCGGGTACCCACTACTCTTAATAGAACTTGGTGTTCTTATCTTAGATCTTGTGCTCTAGGAGTTCTGGATCTAGCTCTTGCTGCCATATTAGGCGTATCTTCTCCAGCGTGATATCTAGCGCAACATGTTGAAGTAGTTCCTTCAGCACGTGTGCTGTACACTTCATAGCAGCAAGGTGGTGTTGCTCCTCCATAATCTTGTGCTGCTTCGGGTTGGAATAATCTTAAGAACCCATTCTTGGTTATTGGATATCATACTGCATTCTTATCATGCCATTTCATGGATCTTAAGTTGCAAGATAGTTGGTGCGTGAACAACCATTTTGTTTACGACACACATGCTTATTATCGCATGTCGTTTAATTGTTTACCAGAAGTAGTTTCTACTCCTTCTGTTATTTGTTTTGAGGGAGTTTATTACACACTAAATCTGGAACCTAATTGCAGTTGCAAGACTGGAACAACCGTTGCCCATTCGCTTCTGCTAGTGATTTCTGTCGAGAAGAAATAAGTGAACATTTTGTCAATCAGGTAGTAGCAGTGTTATCTCACCGCTGTTTTTATTTGTCGAAATATGTTTCAAACCACATTTCGTGAACATTGTGCACATGTTTTTCAGGCGATACTTTCCAACACTCGAGAATCAGAGATTATAAAGATTGCTCCTTTTTTGGTGCCTTTTGACATTAGAGTCAAAATATTTACTGTAAGCTATAACTAATCTGTTGTGTAAATATTGTTGACGAAGATTAGTACATCTATTATAGGATAATAATGTATTACAAGTTTATATTCCTTTGGTCAGTCGCACTTGGAAAATTCTAGACAATCATCCCGCCAGCCCCGTCGGTTGGAAGTACGAAAATCTCGACTTCTAGATGATGCTTTTGCTCAGCTAAGTGTGCTCTCCAAAGAAGGTCTTAAATCACAAGTATGACAATGATCTAGTTTATCTCCGTCCTTTGTTAGCAGTAAGCAAAATTCTAGTGCTCCCATTTGTGTGGACAAAGTTTGATTTTTAATCATCTTCTGTTAATGCTTCAATAGTTTTCAATTTTTTTCATGAAATCAGGTCAGTTTTGTATTTGAGTTTTTGTGCATGACAGTCACCGTTTTGCAATGTTGTCAATATTCCTTTTCTAACTTCCTAGTGTCACTATCGGTGTTTGCAGGAATTCCTCTTTTGCTTTTTACCTCACTGAAATTCCTCTTAAAACCAGTATCCTGACTTCACAATGAAATCTTTCTAGTTTGAAGTGAAATTTTACGATGAGTGTGATCTAGAAGAAAAAAGGATTGACGACACAGGATTCCGAGTTTTCATGGAAAACGTCACCCGTGATGCTTTTGATGTGCAGTATGGCCTATTCAAGGTATCTGGTGTTCAGTACAATGGCATTAGTTACTTCTTACTGTCAGAGCTGTACTAATGTATGCTTGGGCATGCTTCTTATTAGTTCGTATTGGTGTGCAATAGCTGAAAGTGATGGGTAGGATGATGCATCCCAGTTGGCATATTCAGTTATGGTTGCTCACATTTTATGATCTTATTGTAGGAAACGGTTGATCATCTGCTGTATCCCAACCCAAGATCGAGGTTGGTTCATGAACAACATCTGCTGTATTTCCGTTTCCTTGGAATTCTTCTTGGGAAGGTAATTTAACTATATATCATTTCGTTGTCACTGTTGAGTAGGTTATTGGATGCTCGTGGAATGTAATTTTGGTAACAGATTTTCTGTGCTTTTATTTTTAAGTTGAATACATAGTTACATATTATGTAGCAGATGTCACCAACATAAAACATGGGTATCATGACAAGCATTGATGCCATTTTACTGCTAATCGAGACCAGGCTTCTATTCCTGTAACATGCCTTATATTTGACTGATAGAAAGGAAAGTCATGAGTATGCAATATTTTGTTGTCATTAATTTTACATTCGGCACACAATGCTGCATTATGCTATTTATTATGCAGAATAATTTAGGTTCAGCATACGGAAACACCATAACATCTATTTATAGTTCTATACATCAGCTTGCACATTCTGAATGATCCTGTCCATACACTGTTTGGTTGCCTGTCAGCATAAAGAAGCCACATATATGCAAATTGATGATATACTCCCTCCAGTTCATAATATGATGTTTTGGACAATATTTTGGAAGTTCGACTGCACATATCTCCAGAAGTCAGTTTGAGAACTGGAGAGATATTCAACTAAGCGTGCTAAATTTAGATAGTATCCATGCAAAAATTAGTAGGGTGTGATTTAACTGTGCTCAATTAATGTTTTTCAGGCAATGTATGAGGGCATAAAAGTTGCCTTGCCATTTGCAACATTCTTCTTAAGCAAGCTGAAACAAAAGTAACTCTTCTACACTCTTTTTGTGCAAGTTGGCTATATGTATTTTATGCTTGTAATGATCTTAAATTTGGTTAATTGGTAATGAGTGTATTTGGTTCAGAACATGGCAATGAATCAGTTGAATTTGCCTCAAGCATCAACGGAAGTAAACTATAGATAATATGTTAACGGCTTCTGTTTTTGCAGTTCGATAGTATTTTTATCTTTTAACAAACCATTCTCATGTGATACCATTCCATTTTACTGTCTTTGTTTTACTAGTGTTGCTAGCACTCATATCTGCTATTTCATCGTCAACTAGGTCGACCACCTTGAATGATCTGTTTTCACTGGATCCAGTTTCATACGAACATCTTTTGCAGTTAAAGGTTTGATTATGTTTCCGTTATCTTCCATGAATTTGTAGAGAAAATGGTTATTGACAGGTTTATGAATTGAGCGGCTACTATGAAGCACAATTGATGAACTGCGTAATTGTTATATGTTAAGATAAATACAATTATACAAATTATCATTATGTAAAATATTTTTTATTTCACGTCCAAGACTAATCCAGATGGTATGATTATATTTGTACCTTGAAATACCTTCATAGTATATGAATATATCAGGTCCACTTTTATCTTTCTGAAATTTCATGCGACTTGAGTGCTTTTGCCTTGTTATGATTCTTTTTTCCATGCCCAGCGTTATGAGGGCAAACTCTTGGATTTGGAATTGCGTTTCGTTACCACAAATAATGAAAATGCTGACCAATCTGAAGAATTGCTTCCTGGTGGGAGAGGAATGCGTGTTACTGATCATAATGTTACTACTTATATTCATCTAATTGCCAACCATCGTTTAAACTATCAGGTAAAAATATTATAAATTTGTCATTTTCTCGTCAGGAAATGCTTTAAATAGTTTTTTTTTGTTTTGATCACAGATCCGTAGTCAAAGTACACATTTTTTGAGAGGTTTTCAACAACTCATACCAAAAGAATGGATTGATATGTTCAATGAACATGAAGTTCAGGTACTTGGTTATATTACCTGACAAATGGATAATATAAAACCACATTTTGGGACTAAGTGGCTTCTGTTTCTGTGTTAATATCAAATGTCATGTGGTTTTTTGTGTGTGCTGTTGTTGTATGGTTTGAGGCGCTATTGTTTTATCTTCTACTCCCTCCGTCCTAAAATAAGTGTCTCAACTTAGTTGAGACACTTATGTAAGTTGAGACACTTATTTTGGGATGGAGGGAGTACTTATTTGCTACTGTAGTCGTTCAACTGAACTAAAATGAACATTTTTTCCTAGTATTATCACATTTTTATCTTTCCATTGTCCTTTTTTCCTTTTTTTGCCTCTTAAGTTTCTCATATCCGGCTCTCCGAAAAGTTTGGACATTGATGACTTGCGGTCAAACACCAATTATGCTGGAGGATATCATGAGGTAAGCATCGTTTCACTATGCAAGGAAGATCATTGTTTCATTTCTCAAGAATGCAGTCTGACAATCTAATTCAAGTTTGTTGGCAAGGTTTCATTTCGATCATTAAGAATGTCGACTAATATAAATTTATTGAACCGGAGATTTTTTTTTTATACATGAAGAAAACTAGTATATAAGTAGATGCAGTCTTGTGGGGCCACTCTTCAGTCTTTCTCTCGCCTTGCTTCTTGTTTATATAAGCTCATGCTGTTTGAAAGATTGAAATGCAATGAATAGCAGGCGAGCAAAAACACAAGCCAATTTGGTCAGGGTGAACTACGGAAGTCCTAGTAGACCATTCAGTTATTCGCAACACAATGAAGTTCATAGTAAAGAGTACATGAAACGGAGTAAAAGTATAGGAAAAGTACAATTTACCCTCTCAACTTTCAGTCCACCATGGATCTCCAGATTGGACCTTTCTACCGAACCCATCAACTCCGTAATCCAATATAATTCGCTTCTTGATGATGGTCTGCGAAGCGGTGTTGCCGCATCTCATTCGTGATATGAATTGAAATGAGGTCGCAAATTAGCACAAGAACTAGCCAGAGTTCTAAAAATCAGGCTAGGTGCCACTGTCGCACGGGGCGTTTCCTAGGCACCGCGATTTGTCCTTGAGAGACCCCTAGGGAGCCAAGCCAAGGTCAAGCTCATCAGACCATGTCATGTGGTCGTTTGTCCATGGAATCAAACATTCCTACATGTGAATAACCTCATATGGCTGGAGCTGATACTAGGGCTCGTGTTTGCGGTGATGAATTGTAGAGCCTAACTCGCGCATCCGCGTATAGTCAGATGCTATGTAGCTCAACCCAATAACTCACCACACTGGGACACAGTGGCAAACCTAGAATGGGAGCATTGGGGGTGCCAAATAGTATAATTTGATCTAAATATATCATATGTCTAACAATTAGTCGTTAAATAACATTAAATTGTTATACAATTAGGATATAATAAAGGGCAGCTCAGTGCATGTAGGTCCTGCTTGCGCATGGTCCGGGAAAGTCCGACCACTTTGGGTCTTTTGTACGCAACCTTTCCCTGCATTTCTACAATCGGCTGTTTCCAGGACTCGAACCCGTGACCTCATGATTCACAAGGCAACAGCTTTACCGCTCACCAAGGCTCCCCTTAACAATTAGGATATAATATGGTAAATTAGATTGGCGCCCTCTGCTGGGACATCAAGTCTGGAGCTGCCATGCTTGATGTCGAGCTCACCTGCTACCATGTCCTCACTATTGAGCCCCTTTACTGCTGTTGTGACTTGGCCCTGATCAAGTCTTCTTCTTCCTGTTCTCTCCCACCCTAGCATAGTACATCACGTCGCACAGCCTTGGTAGGTGGTGACTGGCTGCAGAGTGTTTTAAACATTGAAACCAGTGTCTTATTTAGACAACACAACAGTACAACAAACCATTGAAGTATTACTATCAAATAGTGAGATCTTCATGTTGATGTTGTTTTGGTGCAGGGTCATCAGGTTATTGATATGTTCTGGGAGGTTTTAGCAAGCTTCTCTTCATATGATCAGAACAAGTTTCTGAGGTAGACACCTCCCATTTTTTGTTCCCATCATGATTTTATATTCTTTGTAAAATAAATTATGTATCATTTTTCTTGCCTTTTGGCCTCGATGCTAATGTTAGCAGTTATACCTATTAAACCTAGTACTAGTAATCAGTTAAGTTGTATCTATTCTACTTTATTACCTTATAAATTCATGTTTGTTCTTTGGTATTTTTTTTCCACATGTGGCATCAGTTCTGAAATATTGAATTACATGGATTTCATTGAACACATAGGTTTGCCATTGGATGTTCTCGCGGCCCATTTCGTGGATTCCGACACGTTGTTCCGAAATTTAGCATTCTGAGGTTTAGTATATCTATCTTATACTCCCTCCGTCCCATAATATAAGAGCGTTTTTGACACTCTCTCGTTCTTTTGAGAATTATGATGTTCAAACTCCTATTTGATGCAGAGATTGTTACCTTGGAATGGACGAGCATATAGACCGTTCGCCTACTTCGGTGACTTGCATGAATCAGCTGAAGCTCCCTCCTTATGCAACGTTAGTAAACCAAATAACTACAGTACATTAGTACATCCGATTATTTGGTATGGCTTGATGGATTCCCTGGTTTTTGCTCAACAGCAAGGAAATGTTGCGGGACAAATTGTTGCAGGCGGTGAGGTCTGCAGCTGGCTTGTAGAGACGCATAGGTTTTGATCTGGATTGACCGCTTGTGAACATGTGCAGTCGAGAAATGCAGAGGTTCTCGGGGTGCTACCTAGCTCATATCTCACCGACCAAACTAGGGATTTGTGCCCTGTTGGATATTTCTTCAAGTACTTCCTCCGGTTGGGTGTGTAGGGCGTGCGCATATTCGTACGTCCTTATTTGACTACCAATTTATGTGTTCTATGCAACAAAAATCGTGTGTTTAGAAATTTTATTGGAATATGAATCCAGTGGCATGCTTTTGATGGTATATAACACATGTTTCGTTTGTCATATCGAGGACTTGAAACCCGTGCCGATGTTAACACCCAGATAGTATATCACATGATCTATTACACTTGCTCACGAATTCGAGTATTGGGTGGTGATTACAAGCAGTGGTACACGAATGGAAAGGGGATCACGGAGGAAGAGGAACAGAGAGCCGTCGCCGCCTGGTGCCGTGATCCACTGTATGCCTTGCGCTCTTGTGCGTGTGACCTTAAGTAGCTGGGTTAGGTCACACCCACTCTGGTCCTTTGTTTCGCGGGTTGGGCTTCCTTTGCCTGGCGGGCCGGGCCCCGAGCGAGGTCGTGTGCTTGACGAGGGAAGGGCCTGGGGCGGTAGTGGGCCTGACATCCCCTCGAGAGGAGGCTTGGTTGACCCCAAGCCTTAGCCGCCGGAGAACATGCTTGTAGCTCCTTGTCTTCTCAGGTGTTGTTGATCTTGGTTCGATCTGACCAGCGCACCAACACTTGTTTGACCATGGCTCCTTGCTTGCGCTTCCGGCGAGTGTCGAGGATGGTTTGAGGCACAGTTGGTACATCAGAGAAGTACTGGCTCGATTGGCGTACTTGGGAGCACCGCGTGGCGCAGCATGGAAACGTGAAAGACGGGGTGGATTGTGGCTTGCGGAGGTAGCTCCAGTTTATACGCCACCTCGTTGATCTTGCTGATGATGGGAAAAGGACCATAGAACCGAAATGAGAGCTTGTGATTAGCTCGTTTTGCCACTGACATCTGGACATAAGGTTGAAGTTTCAGAAACACCATATCACCCACTTCCAAACTGTGCTCAGATTGCTTCCGATCAGCTTGTTGCTTCATGCGAAGCCGTGCACGCTGCAAATGCTGTTGCAGCAAATCTTGAATGATAGCGCGCTTTGTTGGAAATATGCCCTAGAGGCAATAATAAATAAGTTATTATTATATTTCTTTGTTCATGATAATAGTCTTTTATTCATGCTATAACTGTATTATCCGGAAATCGTAATACACGTGTGAATACATAGACCACAATATGTCCCTAGCGAGCCTCTAGTTGACTAGCTCATTGTGATCAACAGATAGTCATGGTTTCCTGGCTATGGACATTGGATGTCGTTGATAACGGGATCACATCATTAGGAGAATGATGTGATGGACAAGACCCAATCCTAAGCATAGCACAAAGATCGTGTAGTTCGTTTGCTAGAGCTTTGCCAATGTCAAGTATCTCTTCCTTTGACCATGAGAGCGTGTAACTCCTGGATACCGTAGGAGTGCTTTGGGTGCATCAAACGTCACAACGTAACTGGGTGACTATAAAGGTGCACTACAGGTATCTCCGAAAGTATCTATTGTTTTATGCGGATCGAGACTGGAATTTGTCACTCCGTGTAAACGGAGAGGTATCTCTGGGCTTACTCGGTAGGACATCATCATATGCGCAATGTGACCAAGGAGTTGATCACGGGATGATGTGTTACAGAACGAGTAAAGTGACTTGCCGGTAACGAGATTGAACAAGGTATTGGATACCGACGATCGAGTCTCGGGCAAGTAACATACCGATAGACAAAGGGAATTGAATACGGGATTGATTAAGTCCTTGACATCGTGGTTCATCCGATGAGATCATCGTGGAACATGTGGGAGCCATCATGGGTATCCAGATCCCGCTGTTGGTTATTGACCGGAGAACGTCTCGGTCATGTCTACATGTCTCCCGAACCCGTAGGGTCTACACACTTAAGGTTCGGTGACGCTAGGGTTATAAAGGAAGCTTGTATGTGGTTACCGAATGTTGTTCGGAGTCCCGGATGAGATCCCGGACATCACGAGGAGTTCCGGAATGGTCCGGAGGTAAAGATTTATATATGGGAAGTCCTGTTTTGGTCACCGAAAAAGTTTCGGGCGATATCGGTATTGTACCGGGACCACCGGAAGGTTCCCCGGGGTCCACCAAATGGGGCCACCGGCCCCGGAGGCTTGCTTGGGCCTAGAGTGGAAAGGGACCAGCCCCAGAGTGGGCCGGTGCGCCTCCCACCCTTTCCCAAGGCGCAACTAGGAGGGGAGAGGGGAAACCCTAGGGCAGATGGGCCCTAAGGCCCATGCTCCCTGCGCCTCCCTCTCCTCCCCCTCCTGGCCGCCGCCCCCTTTGCCATCTAGGGCTGGCCGCACCACTTGGGGGTGGGAAACCCTAGAGGGGGGCGCAGCCCCCTCTCCCCCTATAAATAGTGAGGCATAGGGCTGCCCATAACACGCGATTCGATCTCTCGTTGGTGCAGCCCTGCCCCTCTCCCTCCTCCTCCTCTCCCATGGTGCTTGGCGAAGCCCTGCAGGATTGCCACGCTCCTCCATCACCACCACGCCGTTATGCTGCTGTTGGATGGAGTCTTCCTCAACCTCTCCCTCTCTCCTTGCTGGATCAAGGCGTGGGAGACGTCACCGGGCTGTACGTGTGTTGAACGCGGAGGTGCCGTGCGTTCGGCACTTGATCATCGGTGATTTGAATCACGACGAGTACGACTCCATCAACCCCGTTCACTTGAACGCTTCCGCTTAGCGATCTACAAGGGTATGTAGATGCACTCTCCTTCCCCTCGTTGCTAGTCTCTCCATAGATTGATCTTGGTGACACGTAGGAAAATTTTGAATTTCTGCTACGTTCCCCAACAGTGGCATCATGAGCTAGGTCTATTGCGTAGATTCTTTGCACGAGTAGAACACAAAGTAGTTGTGGGCATTGATTTTGTTCAATATGCTTACCGTTACTAGTCCAATCTTGTTTCGACGGTATTGTGGGATGAAGCGGCCCGGACCGACCTTACACGTACTCTTACGTGAGACAGGTTCCACCGATTGACATGCACTTGGTGCATAAGGTGGCTAGCGGGTGCCAGTCTCTCCCATTTTAGTCGGAACGGATTCGATGAAAAGGGTCCTTATGAAGGGTAAATAGCAATTGGCATATCACGTTGTGGTTTTGCGTAGGTAAGAAACATTCTTGCTAGAAACCCATAGCAGCCACGTAAAACATGCAACAACAATTAGAGGACGTCTAACTTGTTTTTGCAGGGTATGCTATATGATGTGATATGGCCAAGAGGAATGTGATGAATGATATGTGATGTATGAGATTGATCATGTTCTTGTAATAGGAATCACGACTTGCATGTCGATGAGTATGACAACCGGCAGGAGCCATAGGAGTTGTCTTTATTTTTTGTATGACCTACGTGTCATTGAAGAACGCCATGTAACTTACTTTACTTTATTGCTAAACGCGTTAGCCATAGAAGTAGAAGTAGTCGTTGGCGTGACAACTTCATGAAGACACGATGATGGAGATCATGATGATGGAGATCATGGTGTCATGCCGGTGACAAGATGATCATGGAGCCCCGAAGATGGAGATCAATGGAGCTATATGATATTGGCCATATCATGTCACAACTATATAATTGCATGTGATGTTTATTATGTTTATGCATCTTGTTTACTTAGGACGACGGTAGTAAATAAGATGATCCCTTACAAAATTTCAAGAAGTGTTCTCCCCTAACTGTGCACCGTTGCTACAGTTCGTCGCTTGTAAGCACCACGTGATGATCGGGTGTGATGGATTCTTACGTTCACATACAACGGGTGTAAGACAGTTTTACATAGCGAAAACACTTAGGGTTAAGTTGACGAGCCTAGCATGTGCAGACATGGCCTCGGAACACGGAGACCGAAAGGTCGAGCATGAGTCGTATAGTAGATACGATCAACATGAAGATGTTCACCGATGATGACTAGTCCGTCTCACGTGATGATCGGACACGGCCTAGTTGACTCGGATCATGTGATCACTTAGATAACCAGAGGGATGTCTATCTAAGTGGGAGTTCATAAGATGAACTTAATTATCCTGAACATAGTCAAAAGTATTTTGCAAATTATGTCGTAGCTCGCACTTTAGTTCCACTGTTTAGATATGTTCCTAGAGAAAATATAGTTGAAAGTTGAAAGTAGCGATTATGCGGACAGTAGAAAGCTTATGTCCTTAATGCACCGCTCAGTGTGCTGAACCCCAAACATTGTCTGTGGATGTTGCGAACGTCTGACATACACATTTTGATAACTACGTGATAGTTCAGTTAAACGGTTTAGAGTTGAGGCACCAAAGACGTTTTTCGAAACATCGCGGAACATATGAGATGTTTCGAGGGCTGAAATTAGGATTTCAGGCTCGTGCCCACGTCAAGAGGTATAAGACCTCCGACAATTTTCTTAGCCTACAAACTAAGGGAGAAAAGCTCAATCGTTGAGCTTGTGCTCAGATTGTCTGAGTGCAACAATCACTTGAATCGAGTGGAAGTTGATCTTCCAAATGAGATAGTGATGTTTCTCCAAAGTCATTGCCACCAAGCTGCTAGAGCTTCGTGATGAACTATAACATATCAGGGATAGATATGATGATCCTTGAGGTATTCGCGATGTTTGACACTGCGAAAGTAGAAATCAAGAAGGAGCATCAATTGTTGATGGTTGGTGAAACCACTAGTTTCAAGAAGGGCAAGGGCAAGAAGGGATACTTCATGAAACGGCAAATCAGCTGTTGCTCTAGTGAAGAAA